CCCCCAATCATCGTCCCGCCGGCATGCCACTTGCGCCGTTGTCTAAGGCAGTTCGCCACCGTCTTTTTTTATCTTCGCTCTAATCGCACGAGCTAGCGTGCGGTGTGCTCCAACACTCTTGTGACCTTTTGCTGCTGCTGCGCACTCTGCAATGCGATCAAGAGCTCTGACGCGGAAGTCTCGAACAGTTCTTTCATCGATGTGCATCTTCTCTACAATCTCCAGTACGTCGTCTTTCGAGATGCCATTCCGTGTTGGGGGATGTGCAAGCTTAGTTATCAACTCTTCTGCCATGCAACATACATACACACCACAATCCTCTCTGTTACTTTGTTGTGAACACCTCGCATGGATGAGTCCACGACCAAACACGTCTCTGCAAGTGTTCCACGACTTGTCCACCAGTTGCCGTGTGACATCTGGACCCCTTCTGTTGTCGTTGAGGTACTCGTGCCACAATAATGTCCGCAACGCCTTCCAATCCGGACTTGCATACCCGTGACACCAGTCGACGATTATGGCGTTGGGGCATGTGCCGTCGGTCCAAAACTCCCTTACATTCAACAATATGAGCAGCATCCAATGATGGTTGTGGTTAATTGAAATAAGCACAACCGGTGCAACCTCGAGGTCTTTACACTGTCGATGGACTTTGGTCGTTCGACTCTTCACACGCAACTCCCATCCCCTTTTCGATGTGTCACCTTGCTGATTAGTGAGCAATTGCGGATTCCAAAACGTTGTGCACACATGCACTTCTGCGGTGTCCTTACCTTGACATTGCTCTTCGTATACTGACTGCAAATACATGTTTATTACATTGTCATTGAGCCACTTCCCAACGGCCAAGCACATCACATCAGTCTCCCCCAGTCGAATCTCCTCCCTTCTGCCTTTCCATGTGAATGGATATATGTTGGACTCGTCAACAACCTCCAACCCGTCCGTCGAGCTTGATGTGTTCTCGCCCTTCTTTCCCTGTTTCGTCTTCCCACACGACTCTGAACGTCCCAGGTCCGCTGAGCGGATTGTTCCCCTTGTCGCATACAAGTACATCCTGTTGTACCACATGTCCTTCCGTGACAGGTGCTCCCATCTCTCCAACATAGCCTCCATTGTCATTATTCTGCAATTTGCCGTTGTCCTCTCTGTTGTTTCTTCGGTTTCTGTCATTGTGGCTTCTGGGCTCTTCTCCGTGTGCGTCGCTCCCTTGTCCAGCTTTTGCATTTCCACTTCGCTGCGCTCAACATGATCTTCTTTCCTCGGTATTGTTTTCTCTCGATTACTCTCCATCGTGACGTCGGCCACGCTCTCACGACCAGGGTTGTTCTCTTCTGTTGTCCCCATTCGTGTTGTTCTTGATCGTTTCCCTCTTCGCGTGGTCATGTCTCCTGCCACTGCTAAGAGGTCAGTGTTGTTCCTCGTGATGAGTGACATTCTACCTGTGAACAAGCCAGCAACATTTTCACGAGTTTTTTAGCGTCAGTTTCGGTTGTCGTTCCTTGGTCAAGCGATGACAGGGCTGAGAGAGAGAGAGAGTTGGGTGGTGGGGGCCATAAAGAGGTGGCGCGTGAGCGGTGTTTCTTTGATTGACACGTACTACCCAACCGGACCGTGCTGTCACCATTCAGCGCCGCGAGCGACATATCACAATACAAATATGTTCAAGTAAAAAGTGTCGTAACGTTGTCTTCCATATGCTGATGAACCCCACTTCGGTTTTGCGAAACATGGAACAATGTGTACAGTGTTCGTGATGCTGTCAACGGAGATGACGCTGCACAGTTGGCGACCATTTATCACTTCCCATTTCAGTTTTTTGCACCTTGTCACATCTGCTCTTTCAGTATCTGTCTCTTTGTACCATTTTACAAAGACGCACTCGTGCGTGGAGGGTACTCTTTCCGTACAAGTGTGCATGACAAAAAACATTGCCATAAGTGCATACCACATACTTCCTGTCTGTGCCCTTACAGACACATTACTGTGCACCGCTTTCCCGTGGAAGTTGGGTGAAGCCCTTGCAGTTTGCACAAGTGCGCCCCTGGTTGTTCCATCGCTTGTTGCTGCGATGGCAAAATGCGTTCTAGTGCGTATTAACATGTCCTCTGGCGGTGGATTGCACCCGTTTTTCGACATGTACGTGTGAAGAGCTTCTCGAAATAACTCCTTGCACGGGAGGGCATCCAATATTGCTTTGGCGGTTCCCATCGCACCTTCGTTCCCATTTGTTCCTGCATTTTCAAGGGGGAAATATCGGAGTTGCATCTTTGCCGTGTCGCGTGCGGCAAGTGTGTTCATTCCACGTGCCGAGCACTCCATGACCGACGATCAATTTTCAGTTGTCCTCTTCCTGTGTTTCCGTGCACGGTCAATGTCGTCGTCGAATGCGATTGTCCTTCGCACGTGATTTATCATTTGAAACGAGGCTTTGCGCTTGTTCGACGACAGGAAAGGCTGTTTGCAAAACTTTTGGTGGTGGTGCTCCCAGACATCGGCCGCGAAGCTGTCAGGGAGACCTGAACATTGGATGCACGCCCTCAAATGCAGAAGGTCATGTAACTTCGACACTTTCCAGTTGGAGGTTTGATAACGACCCAGGACCTGTTTGAGGGTTGTTATGAAGTCCGTCATCAGATTGTCATATGCGTCAAGCGAATGACTTGAATGCTTTGTGCATCGGAACATTGAGATGTACAGTTCCATTAGTTTCTTGAAACAAGATGTTATTCGTTTCCCTACTGAACCGGGGACTATGTTGGACACTATGAATACGCACACTGTCATGACCGACCGGTTCTGCTTAGCTTCGAAACGACCCTCTCGTAAAAAGTAGTCGCAACCTGTTGCAACAGGTAGCACAAGTTGCGGATACGTAGTACTGCTTCTCTCGCTCAACGTCTGCAACCTCGCATCCAACTCCTTCAACACATGGCTTTGTGGGACGTGGCTTAACTTGTCAAAGGCAGCTGCTTTGAAAGCGTCTAACATGTGCAAAAAAATGTCGTGCTCAATGGTGTGCATACGGTCTGGATGCAAAGCCAGGTGGTAGTTGAACATCGGATCATCGTCTTCAGGACCTCTATAAAACCCCCACAGGCCGTTCTCTTTCACATGCGTGTGCATGTTCAAGTTCGACAATTGTGTCTTCGCCAAGCGACGAACATCATCGTTGTCTGTCGTGTGGAATTCAGTTAGAAGTGCACGTTCCCTGCTTTGTGATCGACGACAGTTATTGAAGTCCTCAATGACATCAAAATGTGATTTTGACATTGTGCATGTCGCGCAAACACTGTATCGAACCGTTGCGATGGCGCACCTCTCAGGGTAATCTTGAATATAATTCAGCAGGAAAGGGTGCACTGTTACTTCTCCCCAGCGCTCATCGTCATAAACAATGCCATCATGCGACGCGTGCTTCGCAGCCTGCAACACCGCAGACAGAGCTGAGTGCAGAATGACGGCTTTGCGTTGCCTGAACGCGGTGCTTTGCAAACCCCATCCCTTGTCTCCTGGGCGGTGATGGAGGACAGGAAGATACGCGAGAAGTGTCGCGTCATGTGCATGGTCACCGATTGACATCATTAATGGATATGTTGTCTGTTTCTGCCKTCCATCTACATGTGTCTTGTCAGAATACAGACAGATTGGCACT